TATCGCATGGATCTAAAAAATAGTAATACATATGTAAACACGCATGTATTAAATGTTGTTTATGATTTGGAAAAAATGTGAGTTATTATATTAGTGATATCTATTTGAATAAATTTCAATAATTGGTACATTATACCTGTGCATGTATCGTGAGGAATGGTTATAGAAGGAGGCGGTGTCATTCTCTGTGTAGATTCGCTATCGGAATGGTCAGTGACATCTTGGCTTTTGTGCTTTTTTCTTCGTTTACCTTTTCCTAGCTGGTAATATGATGTGTCCGTCTCTGAATTTGATTTCTTTTTCGCATAATTTAAAGCTTTCTGATAGGAATCTGCAATTAAAGAAAGTTACAGTAAAGACAGAAAGATATACTTTTAATGCATTTAGGATTGAAATCATTATTCGTGTTCTGCCTCTTGTGATGACTTATTTGGTTCAATTTGTATTAAAGACAGATCTTCGACATGTCATAAAGTTCTTTACAAATCATTGAATTATTAAATATAAAAATAAACTGGGTATTTATTTTTGCAATTTATATATTATCAACTTGAACAATTCTTACCACTTTGAATCAAAACTTGCACTCTGTACTCTTTCCAGCTGCTGTCCGGTTGTATATTGTTCCGAATATATTTCCTGGGATTTTTAGGCGGCCATTTACATAAAGTCTTTTGCTTATTCAATACAACTAGCCATGAAATTGGTACAACTTCTATTTCATGTAGTTGTTCCACAAATTCTACGACAGACCATATCTGGAACCCATATGCATTTAATTTCTCGCATATGGAGGCCATATCAAATTAAATTTTTAATTAAACTATATTAATATTTGAACTACTATATTAGTATATTTAATTACAATATTTAGTATTAGTTATATTTCATATTACATTTTATATTTTGTTATATTTTAAATATTTATATTTTATAATTTATATTTATATTTTATATTTATATTCATGTTTTATTTATATTTATTTTTGTAATTATATTTTACTTTTATATTTATATTTTTAGATTGTTATTTTTGTTATACTTAATGTTATACTTTATATTTTTATTTATATTTCATATTTTATATTTCACATTTTAATATTTTAACATTCTGCAGTAAAAAATTATTTGAAAGCCTTTCTAAAAGTACCCTTTGTATTTTAATCTAATTATATTATTTTAATTATGTAAGTTTTAATTTTCATTTACACATTGGCTATGTATTATCGGTAAAATAATAAAGCCATTATTGTACGGATATTTGATGCACTTCATAAGTATATTATCAATATTAATTGTATAAGAATCATTAGCCAAGTTTTGCACATGTTGAATATGGAATAATTGAGAAGAACACGGTGAATTAAAAAATAATTTAGATGCGATAAATCTTTTTCCTTTTACAAATATTTCTGACGAATCATTATTTTTACAAATGTCTTCAATGCAAAAAACAGATTTGTCTTTCAATATGACACAATTATCTGGATTCGATGTATTTAATCTATACTTTTCAATATCAATCGCTTTAAAATAAGTATAATTTTGTCCATTCTGAACTTGGATTCTATATTGTTTCCGTAATATTGGATATTTCTCATCATTAACTTGTCCCACTTGTTCTTGTTCTTTGAGTCTGTTACAAATTTGCTGTAAAGGATATCGTGATGTGTGTTTTTTTTTTAATTTCGAACAAATAATTTTCAAATTTGAAGCAGCTAAAATTTTCTAGTGGACCATGTTCAACACAATCTGCAGGCAAATGTATTAGACCATGTACGTTATGAGTGAGATATTCATGTCCATAAATTATTGTATATTTCTGTACAAAATATTGTAAGAGTTCTAGAGCATATTTATTATATGTTAAATATAATTCAGAACTGTTTAAAATTCTAATGGCACACGATAGAGCCAGAAAATGTTCATATACATTTTTGTTTGCTATGTTTTTTAATACAACAAGTCCGGTATACAATAGAAACAGTCGTAATTCTGTGGCTTTATAATATTCTATGTCTTCCAAACTTCTTGGTAATCTTACAAAGTCTGTTGGCAAATAGTTTCTAAATAATAATAGCTCATCGTTAACTTTTTTTTTATCACTTTCAGATAAACAAATATTTTTTTTTCCTTTTATCAACAATATTAAAATTCGTTTCATAACCCCCAAATATATAAGATGCATACCATCGAGAGGTACTTGTGATACTAAACCCATATTCAATTTTTCAAAAAGGGCTTACACCTTTATGAAATTCTTCGTCCAATTTATCTTTAAAACTTATATCATTTCTTAGCTGTCTATTATTCTCTAAAAATACAACTTTTCCATTAATAAAAGTTCCTTCTTCGGTACATTTAGTACAACTAGAGTAGCCTGTGTGACCTTTAATGCATAGAACAAACGATTTTGCTGGAGCATCGCAGAGAAGTTTACTAACTTTTATTTTAACATTTATTCTTAAAACCTATTTTTTTCTTAAGTTCACAAACTCGTTTATAAAAGCATTTATAAATTGATGTGCATCAGCTGGTTTTTTAAACCCATGGTAAATTCCAACAGTAAATGGCTTTCGCCATTTTTCACTAATAGTATACAAATTTATATAACAAAGAATTGGCCAAAATTGACTGCCTGAACTTCTCGATATTGGCAAACCATCAATATTTATGCAGATAGGTAATATTACTTCATTATAATCCAGAAATAGTTTTTCTAAAATAAAACTACTGTTAAGTATTCTGCGTAATCCATTTTCTATTCCCAGATGACAGTAAAAACCAGGATAGATATTTATAATTTCATAAGGACATGAAGTAGGTGTTTTCAAAAGCGTTCGCGAGTCTTTTGGAAATTGTGGAAATGGCAATCTTAGTATACTCAATAAATCATTTATAGCACATTGACTTAGTAAGTGTCTATATTTCAAGATCCATTGTTGAATCGCATTTATTATAAAATCATCAACTGCAGGAAGTGTGCCACATCGTTCTTCAAACACTGACGATTCATCTTTATATATATTATCGTCATCAATATTTTCAATATATTGTATCGACTCTAATAAATCATTATCGACTAAAGAATTATCCTGAGAAGCAGGAGGTGCTTCATCAACGGTATCGCTTCTTACATTATCGACGAAAACATTATCACCCGTTATAATATTGACGGAAGAGTTTTTATCACAAGAATTCTCATTTTGTATAAATTTTTTAATATTATCTGTTTGTATTATTTTCCGATTAATTTGTAACATTTGTATTAAATCTTTTTTTATTACTCGCCGCAAATGTCTTTGACTTGTAAAACATTTCTTGAATTATTATTTAGTCATTATTATATATTACACAGTCATACAAAAGTTGTTTAAATGTTTAATAAACGAGAATGCTAAAAGTACATCACACGTCGCACAATCTAGAATGATTGAAATATTGCAGGTTATGTATAAATCTTATACACGTGTTTACATATGTATTATTAAAAATATCAATTAATATCCTTACGTTTGCTGAATTCTGCAGGTTACTTGCACTATTCGAATGCATATTTATTACACGTAGATAAATTTTGGCTCTGTGTTTCTAATAAACGAGAATGCTAAAAGTACATCACACGTCGCATGACCTAGAGAATGATTGAAATATTGCAGATTATGTATAAACTCTTATACACGTGTTTACATATATATTATTACAAATATCAATTAATACTTACGTTCGCTGAATTCTGCAGAGGTCACTTGCACTATTCAAATGCCTATTTTATAAAACTTCACGGTATATAACACACTACTAAATGAAACTGCAATGCGTACCAAGGTGCCTTGCTACATACACAGGCTATAGATGCGCATAATGGCGGAGGCAGTGTCGCCACGCGCGAAAAACCCGCGGTCCGTTTAACAACAATGACTGAACGTTTAATAGCCCGTTCGTCTTGCTCGCTTTTTTGTTGAAAGCATCAGTTTATCTTTCTTGCTCATTACACAGTGAAAAAAGATAGAATGACACTTTCAGCACGAAAGCGAGCAAGACAAACTTAGCTTACTTGTTAAAACATTTAATCTAGTATTACTGATACTTAAGTATATTGATTAGTAATACTAGATATGTTATTGCAATGTTTTTCGATCTTCCAAATAAACGTTTTACATGAAGATTCATGTAACGTTCTATTATGAATGTTTTAGAAACGTTTCATATATAACGTTAAACTAACAGTTTTAAATGTTACTAATGACACGTTAAAAGGGAAATGTTCTCTAAATGTTGTAAAACGTTTACTATGTGACGTTACAAACTGGATGTTGCTTGAACGTTATGCAACGTTTCATTTTAAAAGTTCTAAATATTTTTTTTAATTACCGAAATGTAATATTCTTGCGACGTTCCATAGACTTTAGAAATAAAACGTTTTACCACAACTTCTATGCAACATTGCATAAATATTTATTATGAAATGTTTTAAATAAGATATATTTTTCTCGAATGTAACATCACCTGAAGGTTTCATGTTTAGTGGGATTATTTTAACGTCACATATCATCATACTTAATTAGATAAATTATGCATATATTTAGAGAAAATAATGTAGATTTAGAACGCTGAATAATACATATGAATAAAAATTGAGCTTTTCAAAGCCGACAAATCGTAAAATCGGGTCTATGAAGTCTGTTCTGCATGCCTGAGACGATGTCCGCATCGGAGGCCGCTCTGGGACAAGATCAAGAAGCAGAATATAAAACTGCAGCTAGCTGGCTTCTCTTAAAAAAGGCATGAAAGATCGATACTAGAATGTATCGAAAGTATTGTTGACGCTTTTCCGCGACGCTGATTGGTTATCTCGATTATTCTGATAGTTTGATAGTTTGAGAGTGAAGGTTATTTTGACGGTTATTTAAAATTTAAAAAATTTAATTAAAATATTTAAATTTCATAATTATAAAATTATTATAATAAATGCGCGCGCGCAGCGCGCGCTTGTATTGTTCCACTCAAGTAAATTTTTACTAGAATCTAAAAAATTATTTACTTGAATGAAAAAAATATTTCTTCGAATCAAATAAATATTTATTTGAATCAAATAAATATTTACTTTAATCCTAATAAATATTTACTTGATTCTAATATATATTTACTTGATTCTAATAAATATTTACTTGATTCTAATAAATATTTACTTGATTTTAATAAATATTTACTTGATTTTTATAAATATTTACTTGAATAAAAAAAATCATTTACTTGATTCTAATAAATATTTACTTGATTCAAATAAATATTTATTGTAAT